ACAAATTCTGTCCAAGACATGGTTCGTAGTTTATCTGGTTTAGCCAATGATTCTACGTCCTACCGATACAGAGCGTTAGATTTTAACATAGAAACAACAAATCTAACTTTGTCTTCCTCCTAGCATTTCCTGGTATTAAATAAATACAGTTTCGTCTTCTTTTAACCAACACATAGCCTTTACTGATTCCCTTTCTCCAGAAAACGTTGGGGTTTGCAAGTTAAAAACATCTTTATGTCGTCTCCTCTGCTGCTCGTAGTTGGACCGGAGGATTTACCTCAACTCATTCGGTTTCAACTCTGGCCGGTAATCCTATAATTGACATAAGAGTTTCCCTTGCTCATTTCTTCAGCTAGAACATCCCAAATCACATATTCCGGCTATGGCACCTGTTCCTGATTAATATTCCCCGAAATAGACTCATCTTGTTCTGGGTGAATCTTAGATTGACTTGGTTTGCCTCTTGCTTGACTTCTCCCTCGACCTCTACCCTTGCTTCTTCCCCTGCCTCGATCTTCAGAAGCACTGGTCGAAGCATTAACAGGAGAATCCTCTCTATCGTCGGGGTTAGGGTGGGTGATCCTTTCAGATCTTCTAGATCGACTAGCTATCTGCAGATATTCAATATTAATAATCACATATTCACATTCCCAAGTATAATAAAGTATCCAAGAACAAATATGTAACTGTAAATTCATTATTACTTTGACCATTTGTAATTCGAATTTACCTTACATACTATCCTCTTAACCCATCATTTTTTGTTCCCAATGGTGCTCTCAATGTCTGAGGACCCCTTAATATGCAAATAACAATTTAATTCTAGGCATCATGCTTTGAATACCTAAATTCCTTAAACTCAGGCTTTGATACCACCTCTATAACACCCACTTTCCACATTTGCATATAAACCTGTACTTCATATAAAAGAAATATAATTTACGCCACAAAGGTATCACTAGTACAAGAAACTTATTTACAGAATTTACAACCCAAAAATTCCAAAAGAATATTCTTGTACAATCACATGTATAACAACATGTATCTTCGAAATACATAAATCAACAGGTTGATCTTCAAACTAGCAGATATGCACATAAGAAAAATATTTACATTTCCCCCTTCCCCTTAATATCCTTGGAACCAACAGGACCTGCAATGCATATTTTAAAACACAAAATGAGGGTTAGACCGGAGGCCTATGAGAACCCTTTCTTTGCAATTACATGGTGAAGATCGCCAAAACTTGTTTAAAACTCACATTTGAATACTCAATCATTTTAAATCAAATATAACCTCAGTAAAACAAAACTGCAAGTTATAAAACGATCTTACCACATAAGAAAAATAATCTTTGAGGTTCTTATAAATATCTAAAATACAACTCTCAAAGCTCACAAGTCTCAACGGATCAGAGCATATGGTCTCAACCTCCATGATCATATAAAAGTGTAACAATAAATAATAATCACCGAAGTTCTTGGTTATTATCAAAAACTTTTAAGATAAAACTAGATTTAAACTTAAATGAAAATTGATTAAATAAGAACCAATGACCCTCTGGGTTTTATTTCAAATCACTACTCTTAAGATTACTCAAAATATGATATCTCAAAATCATTTGAAAACACGGACACTTAATGTCTCTGGCTATAAGCCATTTTTCTCTTCTCAATAACATCGTTGTTATCATTTCAATAAGAGCAAGATTCTTAAGTCTTCGTATCACAAAGAAATATTGACTAAGAATTATTGCATCTTACGTATGTGAAAACAAGAGCTATAATAATAACCTCACACACAAATGCCACCCTTATCTTATGGTACATCTCTCCTTGACATGTTACCCTATGGTACACCTCTCTTTCATATGCCATCTTTGTTTTCACCTCAAATTTACAGATAAATCTGTAGTTTTAGCTAATAATGGCTTCAAAATAGTTTCATATCAGAAACTTTATCTCAAAATCTGTCATAGTTCTTAAATTCACTTTTCCAATCCCATCTCAATATTTCTTTCAAAACAAATTTCTCATCATAACAATTTTGAAAGAAACAACAATATTTTCCCTCAATTTAATTCAACATATGAAAGATACAATTTCCCTTTTTAATTTAAAACAGTTTAGAAACTGTTAAACAACAATTTGGGAAAACAACTCTTTTTAATTGGACAACTCTGGGTGATAAATACCCCTCATCGGCCAACATAGTGGCCGATAATCCCCTCCTTATCGGACACACTTAAACAACAATATTTAACAAACTTATCCTCATTGGTCAGCATTTCACCGGATAAAGCTATGTCCGAATACACTCTCATCGGGCAACACTATGTCCGGTAACCAATCTCACCGGTCAACACTCTATCCGGTAACTCAGCTCACCGGTCAACACTCTGTCCGGTAACTACCTCACCGGTCAATACTTAAAAGATAAATATTAAAACCGGCTAAGGCTTTGACCGATGAGTATCCTCACCGGACAAGGCATGAACGATAAAAACTCCAATCCGGTCAATACTTATAATATAAATGCTAGAACCGGACAATGCTTTGTCCGATGAGTATCCTCACCGGACAAGGCATTGATCTATGAACTTCAAACCAATCAATTCTTAATCTCAAATACTAAATATCTCAACCCTTGAACGATAAAATACATAAATAGGATAACTCTTGTCCGATATGAGACTTCATTGGACAACACTTCCTCCGATAAAGACCTCATCGGATGATGCAATGCTTCCCTTTTATATTTGCCTTTTTAAGGAAGGCAGTTTGGAATATTTGTAATTTTTTTCCTTTCCTCACATAACCATGCATATGATCCATGCATACACACAAGCATACAAATAATGCATACATGCACATAAACAAACTCATGCATGTATTTACATATCACATGGATAAATCACATACTCACGTAAGCATATAATCACATAATAATTACTTTAGATATGTACCCAAAACCTGGTTATGTGTTACAATAAGTTATAAAATTACACATTCTATTAAGAAATTTGCTTGCATTTATTTTTAAAAAATAGCCTAATATAGTTAATTGTTTGGTCCTATAAAAAATTATCATGTAGTCCCTAATAAAGAAAAAGAAATTAGAATATTATCATGTGTGGGGTACCCAACGACTTAAACTTGAATGACGTTAGTGACAGAAATCAAACTAATAAAAAACTAAAACTATAATGACTAAAAATATGAAACAACGAATTGCATGAAATTATTTTATCATAAACAATAACAAAATAATAATTTTTTTTTTTATGTATATATTGTTTTATCAAAAAAATATATAGTTTGATTAAATCAAAAAGACTAAAATATCAAAAAGGAGACCAAATTTTTTTAATAAACCAAAAAGGCAAAAATACCCCTAAATTAAATGGAGGACTTTTAATAGATTTAGTCTTAGGAACAAAAATGAAAATAAATTACAAACCATAAAAGCGAAAACATTTACAAATTACAAACCACATGAAAATTGATCAAAATACAATATTTAAATTCAATTCTTAAACTAGTACAATATTTAATACGTCTATATTTTTTAAAATTTAAATATTTAATTAGTTTATTATTAATTTTTTAACCCATATTTATATCTTTTTGGTAAAACCTCTCTATGCATATATCCCATTCTCTTATATATCTTACTCCAGTTGTGGGTTGTGATATAATGGGTTGGTTTTGTTATGTTAATATTCCAAAGTGAACTATACTTAGCTTGAGATTGTACTTAAAGATTGGATTACGATTAAACTTGAGAATTGCTGGTGGTTTACCATGCTTATTTGGATAAGTGCTTATCAAGTTACATTACCTTGTCAGATGAATGTGGCAAGACCAAGAGTCTTACCAGGTAAGAGCCAAGGCAAGGACCGAGACTCTTACATGGTAAGTGAGGCAAGAACTCTTACCATCGTTAGTGCTTACCGGGTAAATAGTTGCATACGATATCATTTTGGTGGACTAAAACTTTAACCGGTAAGTAAATGATAGTGTTGAATTTTACCGGTAAACAGTTATCATCCAGGTAAGTGTTTGGTAAACGGCCCCTTAGTGTTTCGTAAAAGATCTTGTAGACTAAAGCAGCGCAATCAATACGTTATAACAATTATTGTTGGGTCGTGAATAGCGGATTCGAAGATCTTGGTGATAGGGGTGGAATTTTCAATTTGTGTAACCTGCGTTTTAACTAAATTTTTGTATTAGCTATTTTATAGAACAATTTTGATAAGTATCCTATAAACTCATCTATTTATAGCGCATTTATGTTCATATGCTACTTTTTCAAATAATGTAGTATAAAATAACTAATATGACATTTTGTTTTAAACTATTCTAAAAATTTGTTAAGATACCCAAAAACATCCTATAAACATATTGTAATACTTTTAGATACGGAACTTTTTTGTTTCGTCCTAACAAAATACATATCAGGACGCTTAGACATTTTAGGCATCATATAAACCTAATGTAATTGTAGTGAAATACTATGACTATTAGCATTTTCTTTTCACCAAAGTACAAGATCAAATGATAGAGTCTTTGGATGATAGATTTCATCAACCAAATATCTATCAACATCATTCTTCAGCGTATCCATCTGTTGTTGCAAAAACGATTTCAATAATTTTCTGCTATTTGATTCTTTGTCATCATTCTTCGATGATGAATTGCTTTTAGTAACCTATACATTTAGCTAAAAAGAAATACAAACATAAACTCAACAAACGTTACATAAATCTTTTACATATTATTAATATATATAGTAAACATTATAAATATATATATGTATAATAGACTAGTATATTATATATAAGATATTATATATATTAGCGGTTGATTGGGTTGGGTTGAGCGGGACTAACCCAATTTCAACCTTCTTAATTGACGGTTTAGCTTAGAATCTCCGAATCATATTATCTACGTTTCATGTTCCTATGTCAAGCCTTATAGTTTACGCTCTTTTTTGGTTAGGAATGTTTTGTTGCTGCCGATAGAGCCAGCAATCCGTTCTTTTGTGGGTCACCACCAAGTCGGGCATCGAACCCGTTGATCCAAGATGCTCGGTTTGCTAACGAAAATCCATGGCCGTTATCAACCGGTTTTGAAGTCTCGCCATCTTCATCGGCTCGTGCAAGGGTGAAATTCGGGCAAATGCCGGCTCCAGTCACGGTTGAAGGATTCAACCGCCGAGGCATCTCTACTTTCGCTTAGTCACAAACATGAGGTGAATTTTTGAGTCAATTATGGTGTCGTTTTTCCGGTACAAATGATGTTAAATCCTACCGACTCTTCCTTCTACTACTCCTCCTAACGATAAGATGATAACACTCGATCAAAATCTAAGAAATGCTTAGAGTTTAACGAGTGGTATCGTCTTATTAGTAAGAGGATACATATCAGGATATGTTAGAAAGATTTAATGTTTATTTTTGTATATATAGAGAGGTCAAAGAAGTGGCTTATTATGTGTCTTTGAGCTTTTGTGTTTAATTGCTTCCAATGTGTATATATGTTAGCAAAGAAGGGCAAAAAAGTAAAATACCTTTGCTGTTTTCGTGGGTCGTCTCTAATGACTTGTTGTAACAGACGTCGTGGTTCAGGGCTCGCGTCTGACGTCACATTAAGTCTATGGTCTGCCATAGTCCAATGGTAGTTTTTGTAATTCAATATCCTTTTTACCTTTTCCGTGTCTTATTTTTTATTTTTGCGTATATAACTTAATTTAAATTGTTTGATATCATTGACTTATTGAGTAATAGTAAAATATATATATATATATATATATATATATATATATATATATATATTGTCGTCACAAGTCACACATTGGAAAATGCCATGACTTTATCGTGGCTCTTAAGGCTTGAGACTTGACATTGTCACGACACCTGATGTCATTTAAAACATTGGTTATTAGTTAATACCATTTCACATATTCTTATAAAAGACATCGGAGTTATGCAAATGTTCATATTTTTTAAGAGACGTAAATTGTATCAAAATTGAACGGATGTTGTTGCTGAGAGCGGTACTTTGTGATTGATTTTCTCGTAACGTTGGTTTGTTATGCTGAAGGTAAATTGCAATTCTTTTTGCAATGTTATATGCAATAAGAATCAAACTAAAGTATGTTGTATTTTCATGCATTCTCAGATGTAAACTAGGTAGTTAAATAACGTTTGATATGTCATATTCAAGGTACCAAAATAAAGGTTTTGAACGTACGTTTGTATTCATGCATTTTTGTACAAAACAGACAATTTTGTCTGGAAAACTCCTAAACAAATCTTGTAATTATAAAACAAGAACCGGTTCACACGATTGTCTTATAGGCTACAAAAGGTTTTTCTGAAAGGTAAAAATCAATGATGATTGTAGCAAATGTTTATGTAACTTGGTGTGTTAAGTATTTGAGGGGTATATCAGGTATTTATTATTATTTTCATTAAATTGTTAGTTAACTCTAGAGCTGTATTTGTTATGAAAAACGTAATACTGTTTTAAAGTATTATTTTATTGGTTATTGATTGAACGTATGCAACTGATGTAAACTAAATGTAGATAACCAGATATATATCGACACCGACATTAGGAGAAAATTTATGCCAATGTAGGTTTCAATTCGTTCAATCGTGTGACTTTTAGTTCGAGGCGTAAAAAAATATAGTCGAATTCAAAGCAGTTTAGGTGCTTTGTATCTCACGTAACGGACTTTGTTCTAAGTTATGTTAGAAAATTGGGGTCTGGAGAGAAAAACTAGAATTCATACAATACACTTTCCGAAATTAATATTTCGACCCTTTTGACCAACTTGGGCTACATGAGATTCAATTTGGGATCGTGAAAAACGGTTGTACTGGATTTTGGTATCGTCAGATTTCTTTTCAATGAGATATTTTAAGTGACTATATTTGCACTTAATTGAATTTCGCACCACCTAAAAATGGTCACGAAAAGATGTAACTGCATAAAAACGAAACAAACGAAATTTGTATATCTGTATCTCCCATGAACGACGCGACGTTTTGCACCCAATTAATTTCGAGACGACCCAAAAGTGGTCGTTGATTTTGGCACTGCAACATTTGGTTTAATTGTTCTTTTTTCGAGGGGAAACACAAATATTAAAATGAACTCGATGTTAAGAGCAAATTACGTTTTTCGTTTCTATGGTTTGTTGAAAATTGCTATTTTCGTCCTTATGTTACTGAAATTACAATTTTTGTCCTTGTAATTTATAATTTATTGCTTCTTTTGTTCATGTGGTTTACAATTCATTGTCTTTTTCGTCCCTCATACTTAATGATAAACCATTAAAGGCAGGGGTGGAACACAACCGTTGTAGCCTAGGGGGCCGAAATATAATACTATAAAAATTCAGAAATCCAAATGATGTGCACTTTTTTTTTGCTCTGCTCTAATATTAAATTTTAGAAAAAAGATTGGTTAACGTAGGAGTAAAACTTAGAACCTTCAAACTGTTAATAGGAAAATAATAATATACACTACAATAAAATCAGGTCTATATGACGTCAAAAAAAATTAAGCGTCCTAATAGACCATTTTATAAGACTCAGTTTATAGAAACAAAAAAGAAAACGTTCTATCTAAAGACGTTGTAATAAGTTTATATAATGTTTTTGGACGTCTTAACAAACGACACTTTTAATATAAATCGTTGCATTGGAAATTTTACAGGACATTATTTGAAAAAGTATCATATAAAAACAAGTGTCGTATAAAAAGATGAGTTTATAGGATGCTGAGAGAGCGTCCTATAAAATTCTCAATGTGACGCTTTGTAATAAAAGTGTCCTAAAAAACTTGGCAGGATGTCTAAAAAGTGATTTATAAACGTATTACAACGTCTTTAGATATGACGCTTTATATTTCAGTAAAAAAGCGAGGTGGCCATGGCCCCCAAAAGCCCCTATGGTGTTCCGCCACTGATTAGAGGAGTTAGTCTTAGAGACGGAAACAACAAGAAATTACAAACTATAGAAACAAAAATCATAATCTTAAAAACATAGATACGAAAGTCGTAGTATTTAGCAAACCACATGGACGAAAATCATACTTCACTCAAGTTTTAATTAACGGGACACACGAAATTCATGTGCTTCTTATTTGCAAAAAGTCGTTTAAAAAAATTCTTAATACGTATTTGTGTCACATATATATAAAAAAATACTGACATTACAATAGATAATTGACAATGTTCGGATGCTCTAACTACACATACACGTAATCCAAATCGTGCATATAACATTTCGGGACATTTGAGCGTGTTGCAAACCTAATTATTGCAACATTATTACGATGAAGAGGTCTCTCGCAAACATCTACAACGCCCTTCCAGACTTCCCGCCATTTTTTGAATTTTTGGGGGTGAAAGAATAGACTGAGTATTGATTTTCGTTGTTGACGTCGTTGAATTGACTTGCATTTGAACTACGATTAAGATCAAGTCTTACCTAAATTGGATTTTTTTTTATTAACCTCGATATCTAACCCGCTATGCGAGCCGACTAAACCCAAGGCGACCACCTGCTTTGCAGATAGTCCGGAGTCACCGCATTTGAACCTCCGTGGCCACAAGGGAATTTTTATTCCTCCTTGGATTTGAACCTGAGACCTCCTGTTACTTTTGACCTTTGAAGCCAAGCTCAAACAATCAGGCACCACCCTTGTGGTTAATTGGATTTCTTTTTTGTGCCATATGCTCTTAGACTTGACTTCTTTTTACTTTTAGTCCCGATCCAATATTAATTCTTGATGATTTTTATTTCCGTGTCGAAGCAAATTCTCCAAATTTACGACACCCTTTAATAATTTTACACCGAATACGTTTCTCGCCATCTCGTTAATAGTATCGCTACGTTTGATTTCATCATACAATGATTGTAAATGTTCCACTTATTCAAATGTCGTGTTTTATAGGAGATGCCACAACCACTACAATATGTTTTTGTTATGCTAAAATCAAATTAAACACGGGTATCATGATTTAAACTCATCATAATCGGATTGGAATGGCCATGAGCGGTACTTTTTTCTGCAATGTGATTCCAATCTTCCCCTCCATATCCATATCTTGTGCGCTCGTATTTCCTGCAAGCTTCCAATCAAACATGTAAATCAACGATCCCAATATTATATGTAGCATTTTATGTGCAATATTCAATCCCGGACAAATTCTCCTTCCAGAACCAAATGGGATGAACTCGAAGTCTTGACCTTTGTAGTCGATGTTAACATTCAAAAACCTCTCGGGCTTGAAAACTTTGGGATCTGACCAAATGTCTGGGTCTCGGCCCATCGCCCAAACATTACATAGGATTTCTGCATTTTTGGGCATGATGAAGCCTTGGACTGCTACGTCATGTATTGCTTTGCGAGGGCCTAGAAAGGCGAGAGGAGGATATAATCGAAGAGTTTCTTTTATAATGGCGCTAAGATAAGGAAGCCTAGAGATGTCTGATTCCTTAAGATTTCTGTTGTCGTTTTTTAGGATCTCAGAGACTTCTACTCGAGCTCTCGTCATTTTCTCTGGGTTATGAATAAGCTCAGCCATTGCCCATTCCAACGCACTTGATGTTGTCTCAGTTCCCGCAAAGAATAAATCCTATAAGAAATTATATACTGTAATTATTTATGTGTGCCACGTGTACTTAGACGATGTTTATCAACGATCATACCTAATATGTTAATCATATGTTCTATTCATAGAGAATAAGAGAATATGAATTTGGTTGTTTTTCGAATAAAAATAAAGTTGATTATAAGTTTTATTAACGAAAAACAACCAATGGCATAGTGACATGTGTCGGCTAAACTCGCCAAACTTTGATCAATCCAAGGTCGGTTGACCTAACTAGTCCTGAGAAACAGACTATTTTTTGTCGTTGTTGTTGTTGTGTCTTATTTGTAATCAGTTGGACGAGGTCATGAGTAAATATAGTTCATTTACTTACCAAAAACAAATGTATGATGTCACTTCGATTAAATTCACATTCGTCTTTCTGATCGAGGTTGTTGAGAAGCAAGTCCAAAACGTCGTTGCTTGAGGCCGTAACATTGTACGATGATGAATTTAATCTAGTTTGCAAGCGTTGGTCAATGATCTTATCAGAAAACGTCAATAACTTGTTGAAATAAACTTTTCCACGTCGCACTAAGCCTTGTGGATCCAATGCTCTGAGAATCGGAAAATAGTCAACTATGCTCGGTTTTTCACAAATTCCCATAAATGCCCCCATCATGTCCTTGAATTCTTGAGATGAGACGGAATCATATCGAGCCAAATCCATAGAGAAGAAGATATTAGAGAGAATGTTAAGAATTGTCGTAAATACAATATCACCGATTTGCACTAGTTTTCTATCGGTACAACATTGATTAACATGGTCAATAAGTTCTTGTACCTTCTCCATACGCACGATCTCACTAACTTCTAGACGTTGCACTGAGAACACATATTCTTTAGTCATTCTCCGCAGTTTCGCCCATTTATCACCCGTTGGTAGCAAGACCAAGGAGGATTTATAATGGTCCGCCACACGACTTATATCTGGAACCGGCCTACCAGAGAAAGATCTGTCTTTTGTGTAAATGAATTCCTTGACGATATCTGGAGATGAGGCGACTATGGTTGTTTTGGTTCCTAGTTTAAGTGTCATTAAAGGCCCGTAACGTTTTGAAAACACAGCACAAGATTCGTGCGGTTTGTTTCCGAGTTTTATGATGCTTTTCATGAACGAAAAAACATTAGGTCCAGGCGGAAGCCGACGATTGATACCGACACGACGATGTGATCGGATCGTGGCGACGTAAATGCATATGAAAAAGAACAATGAAAAAAGCATATAGATTGCATAATCCATGAACTCCATTTTTTGCAAATCTTGAAATCAAGCAACAACTCATAAATATGAATTTATTATATCTTCTAAACGTCTAAAATACTTTTGTCACGTTATGTGAAATGCCGTAAAATAAAACAAAATCAAGGAACGTTTCCGTTTTTTAATTTCGAGTTAATTTACGTTTAAAAAACAAAAAACAAAAATCTGTTTCGAATGTTGCCATAGCTTAGTTGGCAACAGGACGGGAGATTTTTTTGTCGAAATTCAGTTCCGTTGGAAATGGTAAGATCTTTGACGTAAAAAAGGGGTTGATCCGTCTCATCTTGACTTGGTTCTGTTTACTCTATTTTTTTTAATAATACCGGGTCGGGTTCTTCTTCTATGCGTATCGAATAGAATACGCTGAGCCAAATCTTCTTCATGTAAAACTTGCTTGATTTAGATCGGGAAAATCGTGTGGTTTTATGAAACCATGTGCTGTGGCTCGAATCCGTAGTCAATCCTATTTCCGACAGGGACAGTTGATAACTTTATCCGATTTTTCACATTATTTTCATATCCGTAATAGTGTGAAAACGAAAAGAAGGAATGGTTCCGGGTTCTCTTTTTTATTCGCGACACATTTCTATAATTTTATTAAAAAAAAATATAACGTGTTCGTTTTATTGCATAAAAAATATAATAAACTATAAATTTGGTCTCTGTTGTTTGTCAAAAATAACCTTTTTTGTGCTTGTAGTTTTAAAATTACAACTTGATCAACGTGATATGTAAAAAGATCCTAACGACCGTTAAAAAAATCTGTTAAATGAGGGGTATTTTTGTCTTTTTAATGGATTTTTTTTGTCATTAACCTAATAAAAAACTATAGGGACCAAATCATAAAAATCGATTTTGATTGGTTGAAAGATAAAAAATCGATAAAAGAACGAAAATTCGGCTTATTAATTTAACTGGACTTTTAACGGCCACTAGAGGAGAGGGACAAAATCCGGACGATTTTGCAAACTATGATGATCATTTTGCAATTTCAAAACTAAAAGGATGAAAAGTGCTATTTTCAACAAACCACAGAGAACTAATTTATAGTTTACTCTTGAAAATATAAAGAGAAAGAAAACAGTAAACGTTACGGAAAAAAAATGCAATGCTCGATTGATGACACACACAAAAATCATGTGAACTTAATTCCCGAAACAACTCTATAAACTGCACCTACGTGCACGTAAATACATGCTCGTATGCATATTGTGGAGTTCAAATAAGAAAGTCAAATATCACGAGAATGAGGAAAATAAAAGGTTTATATAAGAATTATTGAAAATAATCGAAAATATTTTTGAATATGCATATGTGAACTGATGTTATTGATTATTAATAAGGGTTCATATATACATTTTCAAAGGCATTTTTTAAGTAATTCACATATGAATATTTTGTTCTTACATTCTCATAATATTTTAAGGGTCGTTTATCGAACACTTATCATCTAAGTGCTTACTGGGTATCAATCAGTTACCTTATTGGGTGAGCATGAAAATGACCTTCTTACTTGGTAAGAAGCATAACAAGGAAACAGTTCGTACCCAATGTGGGAGGACTTTTATCCCGTTAGTGCTTATCGGGTACGAGATGTTTACTTACATTCCGTTTTGACGGATTTGAAATCCAAATCCATTTAATTCCTGCTTGGTAAGACAGTTGTTTAGGGCTTGGTAAGACATGACTGAAAAAATGACCAATTTACCCCTATTGAGTTGTTTATATTTTGATTAATTTATGTAATTTATTAAATTATAATAAAATAATTTTTTTTATAACAAAATATATCATTATAAAGTTTTTATCAAGAGAATTAAAATCATACAAAAATATGAAGTTTATTAGTTTCCAGTTTTTATGTTATAGGTTTTCTATATTATTCTTTTGATATTAACATTTAATAAATTACATAAAATTAACCAAAATATAGAAAATGTATAAAAATAATATTTTTAAGACGATAAAATGAAAGTTTAAAGAAGATAAAAACAATAAATAAAATTTAAAGAATGAATAAAATATAAAGACAATGACATATTTGATGTTTTAGAAGAGAATTATTGGGGTGTTTGGGATTGCTTATTTGAAACAACTTATTTTTTTTCAACAAAATCACTTATCAACTTATTATAAGTCAGAAGAGTTTAACTTCTTCAAAAATTCCTTATTACCGGTTTAACACCAGTATAAGTTGTTTATCCAAATACTCAAAAGTGCTTATTACAGATGCCACACCGGAATAAGTCAACAAGTTGTTTTTATTTGGAGAGTATATTTGTAAAATATAGGCTAGTTGCATCTTGTTCCATGTGGTGAGGGTGGAACACACGCTTGTTCCTGCCTGTTCCATATAAAAGTCATGCCAAATATGAAACATTAATCCTTATTCTATTATATTATGTCATGTTCAGTGTATCAAACTTATCCTAAAAAAAAGCAGTACATAGTTGCATGTCACAAATGCATTTCTCAAGTCCAATGGGCCTGACCAGCACCATGAAACTAGCCCAATAAATGGAGGAAGACAAACCATGCAATTGGTCATTGGTCCAGTAGTATCCGAGTTATCAGCTTACTGGTAGAACTCAACTCTCATGAGGTCAAAGATGAAGGTACAGTATGGACCAAAGGTCGAAGTATTGTTGAATTTTATCATCACGTTTTCTAGACTAAAGCATCAAAGGGAAAAAAATTTCGTGGCATTGGTTGATAACGAAGTGTTATGGCGGCAAAAGGTGGTAGTCTTGATAAACCGAGAAACATGGTATGGTTTTATGTCGTTTATGCTAGTGGACAAGTTGAGATTGGCGATAATGAGATGATGGTTAAGAGATGCTGATCGAAAACCATTGCCACCACCGCCACCAGTAGTCGTTGATATAAAGAGATTGAATCGATTTTTATATTTCTTTCCAACTTGAGGACAAGATAAGAGTTGGGGGCGAGTATTGTTGTACGATTTATCTAATGGTGCATATTTCTTCTACCAAAACTTAAGGATATATCATAATGAGGAGGATTAAACGAGAATAAGTTCAAAATAAGAGATCTACACGAGAATGGTCAAATCACATGTGATTTTGCACTGAATTCACAGCTAGTTACATAAGACAATCATATCAAGGGTGTGCGGGTGAATGTCTGTGCGTAATCACATGTGATTTTATACGTGAGTTTAGTGTAAAATTACATACTTTATGACTGTTCTTGTGTTCTCTTATTTGGTCACTATTTTCGTTTAAACCTGACTCATGTTATGATTGTCACGTCATTACTCAACGATATTGCAATTTTTCTTTGGTACCTTTCAAAAACCCAACACAATGTGTTATCAAATAAGCATCATTACACTACGAAACATAATGCTTTCACCTACTAAACATCCGTGAGTAATCCGTTGCTAGAAGTGAGATTCATCAGCTATCCGTAGGTGAAAGTTTGTCGAACAAGATATCATGAGTAAAGGCATAACCGACAGATCACCGACGAATCCCAATACCGACGGATTTCACAGGCAGATTATTGATGGATCACCGATGCTCCACAATTAAATAATTAAAAAACAAAAAACAAAATAATTTTAAAAAATGTCAGTGATCCATCAATAATTGTAAAATTCACTAATGGATCACCAACGGTTTTTTGTTTCGCCGAAAAAAGCTGTCATAGTGGGATCATGTGAAACAAGACTGTTTTCGTGAAACACGTGACACATTTTTACACTTGAAACTTCACAACAAAACATCGTAAAGATAACATTCACAGTGTTTTTGCTGTGAAAGTTCGGCTTTTCTTTACCTTCACAACATTTTGTTGTTTCTGTAAGATAGCAAACGTAAGAATAAAATGTTCAATTGATAAGACACAAAAACCACGTGAACTGAATTTCCAAAAAAACATTGCAAAACAACCTATTACGAGAAACGTATTGGTTTAAACCGAACACAATCATGCAAAATGGCTTTATAAACTAAACACACGTATACGCAAATAAAATCGCACGTTACACCTACTGACGTTTGGACGTGCTACAAACAAGTGGTAATAATAAAGTTTTGTAGCATTTATAAAAATTTTGATTCTGATTTTCTAATTCGTTAATTTTAATGTTAAAATAGCTATAATTTCGAAGTTGCTATAAGAAATTAATGTTAATGGTATATATAAAATCGTTAACATTACCACACTACAACAACACCAGATTTGTAGGTCGGACGCCTACAATGTTTAAGCTTCTTAATAGAATACTTTATATGACTTAAGTTTAAAGGACCAAACAAAAAATCATCTTATCTAAAAGTATTACACTAAATTTATAGAACTTTTTTTATAAGTTTTATCCGATTTTAGAATGTTTTTCAAATAAAGTGTCATATTAGCTATTTTAATGAGTATAGGACAAATTTTGAAAAGTATCCTATACACCCAACTTTTTATAGGACACATTTTCAAATAATATCGTATATAATAACTAATACGACACTTTATTTTAAAAATGTCTTAAAAACTTGTTGAAATGCTTAAAAGCGTCATGATAAACCTATTATAACACTTTTAGATACGACAGTTTATTGTTTCTATAAACTTTATCCCTATAAAATATGTTATTAAAACGCTTAATATTTTAAAAGTATAAACCCAATTTTATTATAGTGTCACTTTGTTACAACCAATAACATTAATTTTTTGTAAATTAACCTGGATATCTAACCCATTATACGAACCGACTAATCGTAGAACGACCATCTGCTTTGCAGATTGTCCGGAATCACCGCATTTGAACCTCCCAGGCCACAAGGGGATTATTCCTCATTGGATTTGAACTTGAGACTTATAGGCACTATTGATCTTTGAAACTCAAGTTCAAACTAATCATGCACCACAAGGGTGGTGCCTGATTGGTTTGAGCTTGACTTCAAAGGTCAAAAAGTACCAGGAGGTCCCAGGTTCAAATCCAAGGAGGAATAAAAATCCCCTTATGGCCACGGAGGTTCAAATACGGTGACTCCGGGCTATCTGCAAAGCAGGTGGTTGCCCTATGATTAGTCGGCTCGCATAGCCGGTTAGATATCCAGGTTAATAAAAAAAATATATATTTTAAATGCCACATCAAAACGCTTCCTTGTTACATTTATTTTCAAAAATTTATTAACGTTAACACATTTTGTTTGTATTTTTAAGATAACTAAAAATAGGAAATATCATATACAACACCAAACGTAACACAAATGGATTATCCTACCTTCTTACTCTTGCTATCTTTCATTTTATCGATCATCTATGTCCTCACCGTCTCCGGCCGCAACGACTCTCGGCTTCCGCCGGGACCTTACCGTTTTCCGGTCATCGGAAACCTCTTAGACCTTGGCCACGAACCCCACCGTTCTCTTGCCACACTTTCTAAACGTTACGGTCCTTTAATGTCTCTTAAGCTTGGAAGTAGAACAACCATAGTCGTTTCATCGCCCGATATTGCTAAAGAATTCTTTCACACACATGACCGAGTATTCTCTAGCCGATCAGTCCCAGAGACCGCTCGAGTCATAGACCACCATAAATTCTCTATGGTCTGGCTGCCCGCCGAAGATCACTGGCGAAGACTGCGAAGAATAACTAAAGAATATATGTTCTCCGCGCAACGTCTAGACGCCAGTGAAGGCCTACGCGAAAAGAAGGTACAAATAGAATGAGAATACATAGGGTTGGGTTCACGTGAGATCAAAGTTTTTTCGTGAGACCCGTAAGATCAATTTATGTTCATTGATCAACTTTATAAACTAATGATCTAATGGTCTAAAGTTGCACGGTGGTAATTTTGTGATTATTGAGAAGTCTCGTAGCAATTTTGTGATTATGAATGTTCAGATTGTAGATCTAATTCAAGGGTCGAGAATTGGTCTTACGGGTCTCACGAAAAACACTTGATCTCACATGATCCCAAGTCTGAATACATATCCGAAAGTTTTGAATTGCAAATTTATTGTACTTACATTTACTTATATTTATTTGAAGAAATTATATCTCAAATTATAGCATTTTTTGGACACAGTGAATCTCATATATTTAACATATATTTATACTTCTAGATACGGGAACTAGTTCGCCATATTGATCGATGTTGTACAAGCGGAAAGGTCGTGAACGTAGGCGCGGTTGCGTTTACGACAACGCTTAATATTTTATCCAACTACATGTTCTCTATGGATTTCGCGCAATATGATTCTGTGTCATCACAAGAATTCAAGGAGACGGTATGGGCGTTGATGGAGGTTAGCGGGAAGCCGAATCTAGTGGACTTTTTTCCAATACTTAAACGGTTGGATCCACAAGGTCTAGTGTCACGAGTTACTATTTATGGAAAGAAGTTACTGACTAATTTTGATAGGATCATCGATCAACGCTTGCAAAGAAGGTCAAGTTCATCGTCACCCGTTGGTGTTTCATCGGCAAATGACGATGTTTTGGAGTTGTTGCTCAACCTCAATCTGAAAGATGAATCCAAGTTTAGCCGAAATGACATGATGCATTTGTTCTTGGTAAGTAAATTCGGAAGGTAAACACATTTTGAACATGTTAGTCAAAGTAACCATTTTGAGGCATGAGAACGGTTGCGATTTTACAACAAGACAACATGGGCTTCACTGACAGAAAAAATCCATCGTAATCACCGGAGAATGTGACGGGTGATCGTGATTACCGCTGATCGACAATCGTCACCGACGGAAAAATCTGTCAGTTACGGTGATGTGAAGCTTTAAAAGTCGGTTTCACAAAATATGTTTTGTTTTGAAGCTATCACTATAATAAAATTGGGTTTATAGGGCACTCCCAATATCTAAGCGTCCCAATAAATCGCTTTATAGGACTTAATTTATAGGACCAAAATATAAAGCGTTCTATCTAAAGGTGTTGTAATAAGTTTATATGATGCTTTTGGGTGTCTTAACAAGTTTTTTTAGGACATTTTTAATACAAAGTGTCGTATTAGCAACTTTATAGGAAACTTTTGAGAAAGTGTCCTATAAACTCAATTTTTTATAGAACATTTGTTTTTATAGAACAGTTTTTCAAATAATGTCCTATAAAGTTGTTAATGAGACGCTTTATATTAAAAATGTCATAAAAAACTTATTATGATGTCAAAAAACGTCATATAAACTTATTACAACATCTTTAGATAGGACGTTTTATTTTATAAACTAAGTCTTATAAAGAGGTCTATTAGTACGCTTAGAAATTGAGAGTATTCTATAAACCCGATTTTATTTTAGTGTATGGATAAATATAATTTCTTAACAACTTTCTACATTTTTTTTCACCTTAAATAATCAAAAAATCAAATCAAAATGATTATTACAAGTAGAAGTTACAATAACCAAATTTTTGTTCCAAAAAAAATAATAATTCATTTCATAAAATATTGTAGGCTTTATTTATCGCGGGAACTGATACGATATCTAGCACATTGGAATGGGCGATGACTGAGCTTATTCGTAACCCAGAGAAAATGGAAACAGCTCGTTCAGAGATCCTAAAACTCACGCAAAACGACGACAAAAACATACAAGAATCATGTATCGCTCAATTCCCTTTTCTACAAGCTATTATAAAAGAAACTCTACGACTGCATCCTCCGGCCCCTTTTCTTATCCCTCACGAAGCAATACATGAAGCAGAAGTCCAAGGTTTCACCGTGCCCAAAAATGCACAAATCCTGTGTAACGTTTGGGCGATGGGACGAAATCCAACCGTTTGGTCAAACCCAGAAACGTTCATGCCTGAGAGGTTTTTGAATGTCGAGATTGATTATAAAGGCCAAGATTTCAAGCTCATTCCGTTTGGTGCAGGAAGAAGGATTTGTCCAGGATTGAATTTCGCTCATAGAATGTTGCATATAATGTTGGGATCTTTGATTCAAAACTTTGATTGGGAGCTCGAAGGAAACGCGAGCCCACAAGATATCGATATGGGGGAGAAGTTCGGGATCACATTGCAACGAAATATACCACTCGTAGCCATTCCAATCAAACTGTAACAAGTTTTTATATAATTATATCTGTTATTTTAGGTAAAACGAGAAAATATCTGTAATTATTGGTTTTAGGAATAAAAAACAATTGTCACCGTATAGTTCTTTAGTTATGTGAGTCCCACAATACGATCAATCTTCGTATTATCAATAAGAACATCAAGAACACTTGAGATGAAAAGTCAACTCAGTCAAACCTTTCTATTTACTTCTCAATATACGTATGATTACAATTAAGCTCTCTCCTTTCCACACACACACTACAAGACAAGATAAGACCTATTTATAGGTCAACTATAAAACTCTAGTCAAAGTCAACAATTACATACAAAGTCAAACAACCTAAAATACAATTATAAACTTTCAAGACGAATACAATTTAACACTAAAATTCAATCCCAACAAGTTAACACTTTTTCTTCTTTCTCCTCCCTTTGAAACTCGGTCGATGCATCAAACATAAAATATAGAAGTAGCTTAACGTTTATGACCCATAAAATCAATGCCGATAATAAAACAACAAAATACATGATGACGGAAAATACTTTCATTTGACTCAAAATCGGGTTTATTAGACGCTCCGAATTTCTAAGCGTCCTAACAGACCTATTTATAAGACTTAGTTTATAAGACAAAAAAAAAAAATAAAGTGTTTTATCTAAAGGCGTTGTAATAAATTTATATGACGTTTTTTGACGTCGTAATAAATTTTTTAAAACACTTTTAATGTAAAACGTCCCATTAGCAACTTTATAGGACACTATTTGAAAAAGTGTCCTATAAAAACAAGTGTCGTATTAAAAAATTGAGTTTATAGGACACTTTCTTAAAAATGTCCTATAAAATTGCTAATGTCACGCTTTGTATTAAAAATGTCCTAAAAACTTGTTAAGATGCCTAAAATCGTTAGATAAACTTATTACAAAGCCTTTAAATGGAACGCTTTATATTTTGGTCATATAAATTAAGTCCTATAAAGCGGTCTATTGGGATGTATAAACATACATGTATGTGTGTGTATGTATGTATGTATACTTTAGTGTTTAAATAATCTTGTAGAACAATTCAAATTTATATAAAGTTATAACATTGAAAAGAAAAGAAGAACCATATATATATATATATATTAAATATATAAAACTTTTAAGAAAATAATATTAATAGTATAAACTGGGATTAAATCTCTTGAGTCTCTACTCACTACTTTCTTCAATCTTCAAAGAATTCATGTTTGATTCATCGTGTACAGGAACGAGAGGAAGGAGACACCTATTTAGGATTTTAGTTGTTATATTTTTTTATTTCTTATTAATTAAGTCTTAAGTGTCGTACATAATTATCATTTATCTCCTAAATTATATGTTTAAAAAGCCTAAAACAACAGATGCTTACAGAATAACGCATCGTAACTCGTTACAATGGAAACCAGGTCTTAGAGTGAAGGCAGGCCCGTTCTTGACATTTTTTAGGCCCTGGGCTAGATGTCAAAAAAGGGGCCCTTAATAAGTACGATATTTTTTCAATGTATTGTTTTTATCATCAGAAATAACATTGAATTCATATAAAACCATTTTTTCGAGTATTTCTAGACACAAAGTCAATCAATACTCATTTCTAAATTAATATTATCTACTAGAACAGTTTTATGTAGTATCAGTAATTTGTTTCATCATCAAAAACATCCTACTATACACTTTTGGTACATAGAATGATATCATTTGGGGTCACAAAGTGGATTCTTCTGATTTTCGAATGACACTATGTAAAACAATGTAAAGAGGTTGGTTTTTCATGTCATCTCATGTTAACGTTTTTTAACATCATTTTAAACTTTTATATTATGTTTTCAAATCCTCTCTTTATTACGTAAAAGAAGACTCAAGAACATAGAGTTAGAATTAAAACAAACATTTCTTGAATCATCGATTGTATAAATTAAAAAAACTCATGTTGTTGATAGTTTGAGATCTTATTATTCTTTTAGAGATAAAATAGTACATAAGATTTATAAACTCAATATTAGATAATAAAGAATAACTATTAAAAACAATTATAGTTTTATTATTGTAAATATAAATATAAGTTGTACCGTTTTATATAGTTGGTACTTTTTTCAAAAGATGGGGATTTTCTTAGCTAATAGCAAGAAAATCAATCATATTCTAATATAAAAATAGAATTCACATGACAATAGAACAATCAACAGAGTCGATGGGAGATAAATTATAGAGAATATGTCAAAGTTTTCGAAGCAACTAGTTTTAGACATCGGTTTTAGATTAAAAAAACTTAGAAAAACATTAAATAATATTATATAATGAATGACAGATTAACCTATTTATGTATTTTTTTCTCTTCAATATATTTAATTCATACATGTTTGGGTCTTTAATAGTTAATGTAGTATAAAAGTTTTTTCTTGTCATATTAGATACTAATTTTTTTTGTGTTTTCTATTTACTAATTTTTTTGAACTACTATTATATATTAGAGGTGGCCAAAATTCGGTCCCGGGCCGGGCCTTAACCGGTCCCTACCGGGCCTAATCG